GTGCCTGTTAGCCACAGTTAGCTTTGTTCTTAATAATGCTAACAGAATGAAAGGGTATCACATAACAACATTTGCATTTCAAAAGCCACATTATAAAGAGAAGGGGTGATATATGGTGTAAGATAATTATCTTGTCACATAATATTAATTAAATAAAGGACACTTTCATGACACCCTTAAGTACACTTACAAAAATTGCATTTTGCAATAATGCCAACTGAAAATTTTTACTTTAAAGTATGTTTTAAATCAATTAAAAGTATTAATTTACATTAAAGATGTACTGAATTCCTATTTAAGTGGGTAAGAAAAGCACTCTAAAGTTCAATTGCATTTGATATCAATTTAAACTATCATGCATTTTCATTTAATAACAATTAACATGCAATTAAATGTCCGAAAAACATTCAGTTTGTACTTAAGTATATCTTTTTTACGTAGTATATTATTTCTGTTACTGTGTGCACAGTAAATGCTAAACGTCTATATCCATCAGTAAGAAAAAGATTTCTACATAACAATGAAAACAGCAAATATTTGCATGGACAGGTATTTAAAAATCACCCTCTGTATTAATCACCTGAAGGGGAAATGCTAGCATAGCAGTTTGGCTGCTAGCAGACTTGCTATAGTTACATAATCTTCTTAACGTCAAGAAAACACCTTTATGGTCAGAAGTCGGCAATATCAAGCAGAAATATCCTACACGCAAGTTCAAATGGAAAGCAGAACATTCAACAGCAAAGGTCAGGGGTACTAAAGGTCGTGAACTTTGGGGAAACAGCTTTATTAGCTCAATAACAGCTGTACTTTGAGACAATCACTAGTCACCAGAGAGCAAAGTCAAATGAAGACATAACAATAACTTGATTTTAAGGTTAGTATTTTTCACGGAATTATTTTGTAAATCATAAAGTAAACACAGTACCATCCATGCACAAATGAAATTATAATTGTGTTGTTTTCTTGAGCTTCATGTATTCAGTAATATCTTCACTATATGCCTTTTCCCCTTTGACCTCTTCCACTCTTACATTCCTGTCACTTCTCAGTATGACAAGAGCATGATGAAGTGAGCTTCGGAAGGAAATTCAGAGGCAGGGGTCTTTTTGGGGAATGTACATGCTTGGGAGCCCCTTTCATATTGATTTAAGACAGTCAGGAGAGCATCCAAAACGGCTTGTTTGCCGGTGCACGGTTCCCGCACAAGTCTGGCAGCATTAAAAGATTCATCAGTGCTTAGATGTGACTAACATTTGACTCCAAACTAATAAAAACGAATGACAGAGTTGGGGTCAGAGGGTCGAGATCAAGGCTCATAGGATGTCCTCTCAATTTCCAGCCATCCAGATTAATGGGGCCCCTGTGGTAGGAGCAGCAAGTGGCTATTTTTCAGTATCACTTTCTCAATGAGGCTTCTGAACCCTTAGGCCTCAGTGCACTGCCCACCTGTTGCCCTATTAACTACTAATGGAGTGCACAACCGCCAGTTTGCAGGGAAGGGGTGAGATAGTTTTATAGTTGCTTTGAAAAGCTTTGATTGTTCTATTTGTAGTTGACAAATAACATGACATATGGTTATGAACCTTCTTAAACAAGATTTTAGGTTAAAATGTATATGAGTTGCATTTAGGAAAATGTATATTTTAGGTGCTTTAATATGGTTTTCACAATTTTAATAATCTTTTAGTTGTTTTATAGTTCACTCAAGTAGTCCTGCAGTGTGACCAATGAATTGTTAAGTAAGTGAAGTGAAGTGACGTGTGGCCAAATATTGTGACCCATACTCACCATCACAATTATGCGCTTAAACAAGAATAATAAGCCAAATTTGTAGTTTTGTGGCTTCTATTTTCTAAAATGGTAACACTTTACAATAAGGTTCCATTTGTTTACATTAGTTAACTAGCTCAACTAAGCTCAGTTTACTTCCAATAGTGTCTATGCAATCAAGTCAACAATATTGCCAGAAATGAAGTGTCCCCAACAAGCCAAAGGAACCAAAACTCCATTGGTGATAGAAATGGAGGGGACAAAAACCTTGGGAGAAACCAGGCTCAGTCGGTGGGGCCATTTCTCCTCTGGCCAGACGAAACCATGGCGTGGTTTAATTCCAGGCTGCAACACAGGTCAGATTGTGCAGAGGACTCGTCTGGTTCTCATGGTCTTGCGTCCCACGAGGAACTGAAAACAGACATGTGAGCAAAACTTCGCGATGAATCTTTACACGACTGTCAGTGTCGGTGAAACACTCAAGTGCGAGTGCCAGTGTCCTGACTCCTGAGCGCATCAAGTAGGCCTAAGTCACATATTTTTTACCTGGGAATTTGACTGTTGGGAGCAATAAAAAGACTAAATGGTCCAAATGGAATGAATTGACGCGTTTTGCCAATTCACTGTAAAAAAAAAAAAAAAAAAAAACGACTCAAAAGAATCATTAATATGCAAATTAATGGTATTACTGGTTACCCCACGTGCACACCGTGGGGTTACAGGAGGACCATATACTTTAGTTTAGATTAGAACTGGGTGGATTTAGCATTAGGGACCCCCAGGGGACCTCCTGAAGTTGGAAGTAGGGCATCGCCTGCAATGTGGGTGGGTGGGTAGCAGGGGGTGCCCTAGAACGTAACCAATTTGTTTGTTTCAAATGTAAAATAGAAGATAGACTCACCTAAACTCTCTGAAAAACTAATTTGTAGAACTATGGCGACAATATAGTTTTATATAATAAATGTACAAAGACATCTGTGAAATGCTTATAGATAATCTATTTAACTTTTATTCTATTTTATTCTTCTAACATCTATTTAACTCTTATTTGTCAAGTTGCTAGACATGGTTAAATATATATTGCTGTCTATTTAAAATGAAGAGACAGTTTGACAGTATTTTATAATATCTTTTAAAATAATATAATATTTCGAGAAGCACCTGCAGCCCAATAATTATTTTATTTATTTACTTTTCTAACGTTATCTTCAGTAATATGACTGAATGCATTGCAGCATTCTAATTTGTACATATTTTTGATAAAAATGAAAAAAAAAAAAAAAAAAGTGAAAGAAAAGAAAAGAAAAAGAAAACAAATATTTTGTGAAGTCCAGCAAAAGAGCCATTGGCTGTTGCCATAATCACACTAATATTAAAATGCATAGTCTACCTCTGTTGAGTTGCGACATCAGATTTTCAATTTAAGATTAATATTAAAATGTTAATAATAAGAAGAAACTGAGCATTTTAACTTGATAGTGAAGACAATAAAAAATGCCTTTTTGGCAAAATCAAAAATGCATTTTAGAACTCAATTACGCAAGCAGCAATGAGAGCCAAGCAACTGTGATTTAATGGGAATGCTGACGGAGAGTAGCATAGATCTTTTTTCCTGCAGTCAACAAGCAATAGAGAGTGAAAAAACGGCTTTGGCTATTTTGGATCTTTTTTTGGTAGGCCAAGGGCTATTTCACAAAAAGAGACAAGCCTTTTGATGTGTGATGCTGTTGTGTCGGATGTGTGAATCAATCATCTTTGCAACATTGTTAAAATGACACCATATGGTAACCTGTCATGACCATTTCAACACCTCGATCTCTATTTTTATAGGCTACTAATTGTTTTATACTAATTGAATGTTTATAATTCTCGTTTCTACATCTGACAAGTTTGATTTCTCACCTTCCCATCTTCATGTTGAGTTACGCAGCTCCTGTAAAGCATCTTTGAATTCATCTTTAATCAAAAGAGTCAAAATTATGTAAATATTTTTGGAAGGACAAATTGAGATAAACAGTTCATGATAATGTTTTAGTTCACAAAAGCATAAATGCTGTTTTTTTTTTTTTCACAGCAAAAACTTTTTTATTGTAATGTGTGAAAATATATCGTTGTCCAGTTACAACAAGGTTGCCAAAAGAGTTATGAATATAAATCATACCAAGCTTTAAAAAATTTCACCGAAATTTACCTGAGATACAATCTGTTGTCTCTTACAATGGACAATAATGCAATTGCTGGCTGTCAGAAAGCCACAAGATGGCAGTGTCATCTTCACAAAGATGGAAATAACATTCGCAAAACTATGTTTGTTCAGTGTTTGTTCAGTTCCCAATGGAAATAACCTTCGCGAAACTAATATGTAGTGTTGTTGGTTTTTACATATTACAGCATCTAACTGACTTGGTTACTACTATGGTCATTTTGAGTGGCACTGGTGATTAGTTTGTTCACAACGAAAATTCCATAAAGAAAAAGGGCACTTCACATGCCCGGATGATGCACTTAATTATTCAAATAATCGTATAATTACACAAGACGGTTGAGTATGGTGCTAGATTAAGTGCATATAGTGCGTCATTTGGCACACAACTCAACTGTCTCTTAATAGTCACTCAACGCGTTATGGTGTGCTTTCATGCAAGATTTTTCACCATTTGTGCTTCATAACCTCGACAATGTGTAAGATTATGTCATATTAAATGTAGTCAATTGATAAAGTCAGAATCTGATTAATACAAAATAAATAAATACATTTACCCATTAAGTTACCCTGCACATAATAAATAAACATAATAAAATAAGCTTATTTTTTAAATTAATGTAAACGCGGTTTTCTTGCGTCATGAATATTTAATGAGGTAAGAACCGAGGCTGTGGTTATGATTGGTTGTCTGTTGCTAAACAAGGGTTAACCCCGCTAAAAGCTCTCTGCTCAGAATCAGAATTTCAAAGTCACGTTTTTGTCCAGCTGCTGTTTAAGTAGACAAGGTTAAGACCACGTAGCCTTATCGTTTACTGTAATTTTGTCTAAAAGCGTTCTTTATGAGTGAACTGCTGCAGTGCGAACTAAACGCCACCCGCTCCACTCACTGCATACCTGTCTCTCCACCGAACTAAATCAAAAGCACTCGGCACATGGATCGTGTGTAATAAGACTACACTTCCCATGCTGCACCGCGTTCGCGTCGTACCGCTGCTGTCACTTTGCCGATGTGAGAATCGGCCAGCAGCATCTCAGCCGAGCAGCAGTGCAAAAATGCACTGAAATACGCATCTTAGGACATTTCTACCCTCTTTCGGTTTGCCATGAGGGCGTGTGATGGGAATACCGGGGATGTTCGCACCGGATTACGTCCCTTTATTTTGAGCGAAATGCGGATTGTTTTGCGCTCGAGGTGTTAACGCAGACAAAAAGAAAATATACAAAAATGAAGAAGCAATTCAATCGGATGCGACAGCTCGCCAACCAGACTGTTGGCAGGTGAGCGCTATGATCTTAAATACGATCGTTTTACGCCATGACGAAGTTTATTTAGTATTTATTTACTTATTTATTCGCAGAAAAGAATCCCTAACTGCAGTACCGATTCCCATATATTTCCCATTCAAACTTTCAGTTTTCTAAATATACAAATGCATTTTTAAACATTTTTAGTAGCCATTACTACAAATAGCGTCTAGCGTCTTGATTGCGCAATGCATCTTAAAATAGCTTTATGCATTATCACACCCATGCAATATTAGGCATTATTATTATTATTATCATAGATGCATAATTGGAGGTTGTGCATCCGTGTGTTGTGCATAACGGGTTCACTGCAGAGGCATTTCTTCCAGCAAAATGCCTCTCGGAGGTTCCCCATGGCACTGACACTACACCCCCTGCACAAACCTCCCTGATGCATTTCCATCAAATGCAGCTTAATGTAGCACTGCTGTATCAGCTCACTTTGATTTGAATGAGAGGTATGAGAATGACATGTCTCCAGTGCCAGCTGATGCGGTGGATGGATGCGGATGAGAGGAAAATGGCAAAGGCGCAATGTTTTCATCACACAGTGATCTATGGAAAAAAAAGAGGAGGAGTTGGGTGCAGTACATCAGCAAGATCTGTCACTGATGGAGAAGGTCATCATTGCTTCAGAAAGCACGGCTTCGAATTTCAAAATCCAGTGCATTATAGTGCGGATTGCAAAAAAGTTGCTGCGTTTTTTTTTTCCACTGTTGCTGCTGATATGCTTGCCCCATTTATCTTGTTTATGTTGGAGTGGGTGTGTGATGCTTGACCTTTCACATGTTTGGATTGTTCTTTACATTCTTCTCTCACCTACCTCTCTTCTCACATGGCAAGGAGGGCTGCTTGTCATGCACGGGCCGTTGTGAAAGGCCAGAAGGTGTGTGTCGCTATCGGGCAGCTCCTTGCTGGGTGATTATGCCACAGTGTTGTGGGTCATCATTTCAAATGCATTCTCTGTGGGTGGTTAGAAGGGAAGCTTCTCTTTTACTGCCTCTGGCTGGCATTTGCAGGCCAGTGGAAAATGGCAAGTCAGCTCCTCCAACCCGGTTCCAGCATTGCTCAGGTCATGAGATTGTGTGTGTGTTTGTGCTTAAGCCCTGCATTAGTATTCTCTACCTTTCCCTGGTAATGTCCAGGGAACTGTGGCAGCGGCCCACTGTGGCATTCTGTCTGTAGCTGTGCGGTAATGAAAAACAACATGTTTCCTAAACAGCACAGAGTCCTGACTCATTAATAATATGTTCCTGGGTCTGGGAGGGCATGCTGGACTGATGTTTGCTTTGGAAAATAGATTTGCACGTTCCTGTCATGTACTGTTAGAAGTACAGAGCCACATCTTCCAATATCAGCTGGGATTTGCACTTAGATACTGTGTCGATGACCTTGACAGACTTGTGCAGAGGTAATGCAGTGTAGGAGATGATCCATGACTCTTGTTATTTTTGTTATCCATTATCAACACCATTTTTCTTTGTGAATATTTAAAGTCAGCATGAAAACAAAAGAGACTTTATTTTCTTAATGTGTGTTACTGCTATTATTGTGAACAATTTTGAATGCATAGTACATATATTTTTGACCAAATTTGAATCCAAAAGTCATAACGTATTCTTCCTGTGATTTCTCTCTGCTTATGTATGTAGTCAAGCCAATCACATTTAGATCTGCTTTCATTTCGGTATTCAATACTTGCTTTTCACTTTTTAGTCGACATGAAATGCTGTTGCTACAATTGCTGTACATTTCATATTATGACACATTTTTAGTTATTTGATTATTCTCTGTTTTTATTCAGAACTCGAAGATAAATGTATTTATTAACATATGAATGATAAGTCTTACATTATATAACACTTACAAAAAGCAGACTCAGACTCAAAACAGTGAAACCAACATTTTAAATAACCTACCATTCAGAAGTTTGGGGACGGTGAGATTAGTACTTAATATAAATTTGTAGCAACCGTAAACAACTAAAAACAACCATTTCTATAATCACACTGTATGTACTGCAATACTGCACAGCCCTAGTGTATACATTTGTATTTATGTATTTGACATTTGTCCAGATGCTTTTATAGCTGTCACCCAGCCTCCCCGCTGCTTTCATTTCTCATCATTTGTAAATCACATTTCCCCTTGCCCACTGTGATAAAAATGACTACCCCTGGCTCTGTGTGTATGTATACTTGTGTTCGTCTAGTTAAGGGGCCAGTATTTGTGCTCTTTCTCTGTATTCTCATTGTGACTATATTTATAGTCTCTTCATTCATGTTTTTGTGGCAGTGAGTGTTTGTGAGGGTTTTTGGTGGGGTTGTGCACTGCCTGTAGTGTTTTCTCTCTCTCAGGAAGTATGGCAGCCTTCCTTTTCCTTCAGAACTGCTGGCTTGTTGTTACAGGGAATGGTACATTGTAAGTGCTTATGGAGTTGTGTGTGTTTTTCATCGTCAGCAGAAAGGTTGGGAATAGTGTGTATGTTGATTAATGGCCCTGCGTAACAAACGTGCTCACACAACAGGGAGTGCCCACACATTGCAGGGGAATCCTATGAAGGTAGAATGACGTCAAAAAGATTTGCATACGCAGGGTAAGAGTTGTGGAAGTGTACATAAGACCTTGTATGAAAAAATAACAACTTAATTAAAACATGCTCCTTTCAGCTGTGTTCCTTTAGGCTAGACTCCCATGTGTTCATACTGAATTGCAAGCCGGTGTTAACATTATTTGGTTTGGTTTGGCTTTACATTGAAATGTCATAATCTGCTTA